TGAGCACCAGTATATGATGAGTATGAGGGAGAGATTATGCAGTGATCGAGGGATTGATACTGCGAGTTTTAAGCCACAGTTTTCACCTTCCCCACATCCAGTGGAGGCTGCACCACCGACAGTTCCAGCTGATGTTGATGCTGATATGGAGGATTCTTGATGATTTTGCATTGTTTCACATGTCACCCACTTCACCATCACATACATTTTGGTGGATATTATGGTTGGATTAGTCTCCTTTATGCAGTACTCTTTGATGTTTAATATGTTTTGTTGTTTAACAAATGTGTGTGTGTGTGTTCCACCTAGCAGAACTAGCTTCTTCGACTAGTATAGTTTGTTGCTGGGGACAGCAATATTCTAAATCTGGGAATTGGTCGCATGTTGTATATGCGAGACCTGCTAACTGCGGAATCACACAACAGAACGGAACAAAAATTCTATCTGGAAAAAGGGAGATACTTCAACTTTTGAATTTTTGATTGTTTAATAATTTTGCTGGTTATTTCAAATTTATCTTTAAAAAAAAATTGAATTCCTGAACAAGCAATCTCAGATTTGACAAAGCTGGCTTAGTACTATTGTGGATTGAATCATAACAAGCATCATATCTGTGAAGCATTCATTTGTTTTATATAATCTGAGCATGATGATTGCTCGTTTGTATGAATGTTCTTTGGTGAATTATTCTAAGATAATGCTTGATGTGAATTCTGGAAATTAGATTCTAGCTAGACTTATTGCTGTGAGGATTGAGCCTAAACAGACATTTTTTTTTTAGAACGGCCTCACTGTAGCAGTTTTCTAGAATTTGAACTGTTTCTCTGGCTTGCATGCAAGACTGATATGATAAGGGCACATTTATTCTTGTGAGCTTAGAGCCAAATAGCCTACCTAGCAAGAATTTCCATTGTTAAACCCCTTTGAGCTTGAGACCAATTTGTTCAAAAACCTTATGAAAGTTACTTAACCATGTTCCATTGACACACCTTGAGAGAGATTGAAATGCTGATTCCAAGAATTAGAATCAAGGTACTTCTCAGAAGAAAAAGTTAAGTAAATGAAAAAGAGGAAAGGTCTGAAAAATTTAAATGTAGCTTAGAAGAGACAAGAAAACAAAAGAAAGAAAAGGTAGTGAAAAAGGGAAAAGAATCCCAACATGTCAAAATGGCAGAATTGAAGAGCTGAGAAGGAACTAATGCCAAAAGTATTAGGATTTCAGTCTCTCCAATTTAATCAGTCTCTAACCAAAAGATTCTTACCCCTAAACCAGGCCAAGTTATAACCTATCAAAGACCTTTTGATCAGTCTATGCATGGCAAATGGGTTCCTCACTTTTAGGAACTTGAGAATATGTTCAAGATCATGGAATTATTGCTACATTGATGGAATGAGTGCAGAAACCTCAGACACTGAGTGATGAGAATGTATTTATCTGGTGAGGAATATTCAAGCTAGAATCCAAGTTCTTGATACAACTGAAGAGCTTTATTGTGAAGTTTTTACCAGGAAGTTATACATGCATAGCAGTTTGATTTCTTAAGATGTTTATGTTCATGTGTTCTTCACAGAGTTGATCTTGTTCTTTCTCTTTAATCTATTACATTGCTGAGGACAGCAACGTTCAAATCTGGGAATTGTTTGATATGCCTTCAGCATATGGGTAAATTCAAGCCAAAAAGAGGAAGATTAATTGTTAATCCTGAGTAAAAAGGCAATGCTTATTGTTGTTTTGCTGAAATTCTAAATCCAGGATTGTTCAACTGATTTTATGCTGATTTTGTAGGAAAGCATACAAATTGGAGTCAAATGGAGACGTGCCAAAACGAAGATCCACGCTCATAGCGTGGATTTCACGCTGATGGCGTGAAGAACCAGAAACTCCCACGCTCATAGCGTGGTGTTCACGCTGATGGCGTGAAACCATCCTTTCTCCCATGCCCAAAGTGTGGATTTCACGCTGATGGCGTGATGATTCAGAGGCAACCACACTCTTGGCGTGGAACTGGAGCTGAGAGCGCCAGTTTGCGAAAGTCAAAGACTGTCTTAAGAAAGGGCAATTCTGGAAAAGGAAGAAAGGGATTATAAAAACAGGCTTTCTATGACAGAAACGTCAGATTTTTGACGGCAGAGAAGAAGAAAAACAAGGATTGCTTCAGAAGGAGAGCTCCAGAGAAAATTTCATCTTCATCTTTATTCTTCCATTCTTTCATTCCAAGTAACATTGAATATTGATTTTTTAGCCATAACAATGGTTGGCTAAGTTTTCTTTTATCGTAGTTAGGGTCACAAACCCTATGTGAACCCTTGTTACGCGGATTGATTTATAATTGCTCGTTTATATAATTATCTTTATCTCTACCATGTTCGTATTTTATATTTTCTTTATTAGAATTGATCACTCTAATAGTTGATAATAGTCTGAGGGTTAGAACCCTAGATAGGAATATTGGGGTTTTCATCCTGAAAGGGAGTAGGATAACGGTTCGTATGCATGCTAGGAATAGATGTGTATTGTTGCGGATGTCTAAATTATTGAGTTCATCGCTTAATTTTCATGAGGGGTTGCTAAGGGATTAGGATTCCAATTGAGATTAAAGGGTTAAATTGCCAAGGGATTGGGATTTAACTAATTATTTTAGATAATAAATTATCCGAGTAATTTTATAAATGAATATTGTAAATCAATCCAAAGTAAGAAGTGGGGATCATAAGGTGAGTGCGCTCTAGCTACAATGTTTTTCTCATATTTTCACAAACCAATTTTTATTTTTATTGTCTATTTCTCATAAGCAAAAATTACAAAAATAAGTCTTTATTTTCAATTCTCAATTTCACACGAATCGACATTATTTGTCACAAACAAACCATTTGAACACTTCCATTCTTGAAAGGAACAATTAATTGATATACGATCACAATCCCTGTGGAGACGATACTCTACTTACTTTCTATATTACTTGTGCGATCGGTATACTTGTCGGTGAGCATCAATTGCACAATTACCCTATGTCTATCCCTAGATCACAAGGATTATGATAAATTTTTCAAGTCAGGGTTCATGCACCAACATCCCTATTGTCATACAATTTCCCTAAATCAATCTATAAGGAGCAAACTCATAGAAAGCATTAAAGACAGATAAATTTATTCAATTATAAAAAGAAAAGAATTCAAGAACAATTTAATCCATAAACATAAACGATTCAATTGGGTTCCATCTACCCCTAACTACATAAAAGACTAGCCTAGCATACTGAATTCAAAAGCAATAATAAAGAAAAGAGAATCCCAAGCCTCCGTTGGTAGGATGTTGACTTGGTTCCTCTGTGTAATTCTCTGGATTGGTTAATTGGTAAAAGTCTGTGAATAAGTGACCCTCAGCTCCCTATTTAAAACCATTGAAGACATATCTCCTAATCCTCCATTCAATCTTCTCATGAATCCCTATCAAATTTGTAATCAAATCTTTAATTGCTTCCTTTTCTTATTTAAGATCTTGCAAATTGGGTGACGGATTGAGCTTCGAATCTTTGTTATGATCCCTCTTCAAATCTTCCCAGGAATCTCTATCAGTTGATAAATTAAGACTGATTTGTTTCCGCTTCATTCAAGAAATATTACAATTCTGTATCCTGTGGCAAATCTCCTTAAATCTTCATTAAATCTTGGTTGACTGGTTCTTGTTTGGGCGCTCAAGCGCGCTACTGGGCGCTTGAGCGTCCTATTGAGCATGAATTACTGGATTTTGCCTGCCTTGACGCGCTCGAGCGTCCACTTGTGCGCTCAAGCGCGCTCCTCGATGGTGGATTTTTGTGAATTTGGGCGCTTGAGCGTCCTGAATTGCTCAATTAAGCTGTTTTCCCTGCCTGCACGCGCTTGAGCGTCTATTCTGTGCGCTCGAGCGTGATATTCTGGCCTTTGACTTGTAATATTTTGGCTTCCTTTGGTCCATCTCGAGCCGCAACTCTTTCTTATGAGTTCTTCATCACTTTTTAGCACCAATAAGTGTGGTTTTACCTTCAAAATGCAAAGAACTTCAAAACGTTAGCTCAAATTCATATCTTATGACTTATATGTTGTAAAACCTTGAATTCCATGCAATCTATGATATATTTCTCATATAATTTAGCCTAAAAATATGGTAAACCAAAGGTATATCAATATATATATATATAAATTAAAAATGCTTTAAGGACTTTATAGTCTTGGAACATTGCTTGGCCTAATGGCTCAGTCTCACATCTGCCTTTCTTTTGTTCCGATCATAGACCCCTCTTACTTGCTCATGGCAACTCATTTCCCCTTCCTAATTCTCAGAAACCCTTCAGATTTCTTGATGTTTGGCTGTTGGATGAGAGATTTAGTGGGATTGTCAAAGACTGTTGGGATGGAAATAACAACTGGTTGGAGGTCAGAGACTCTTTCCAAGATAAAGTCCTTCACTAGCATCATCATTCCTTTCAAGCTTTTCCTAGACAAAAAGGGCAGATCTTTGTCAAACTAAGAGGAATTGATAGGGTCTTATGCATTAACCCTGATCGTGATCTAAAGAGTCTCCAACGCTCTTTTTGGAGAAACCTTGGGAACATCCTTGTTCGTGAGGAGCTTTCCTGGTATCAGAATTCTCGCTTTAATTAATTAAATTTTGGTGACAGAAACACCAAGTTCTACTACTCCGTAATGATTATTAGAAGGAGGCGTATTAGAATTGACACTATAAAAAATGACCAGGGAGTTTAGATTTCCGATAAAGAGGAGATGGTTAACATTGCAGTTTCCTTCTTTAAAAATCTTTACTCCCAAGACTCCTCCCCTTTCATGGCCTTTTCCCTCACAGGAGCCTTCCGAAGCTTGAAAACCTTGACCATCTGAAGATTGGTAGCTTTTCTAGTGCGGAAGAAATCAGACAGGTGGTCTTTAGTATGGGGAAGCTTAAAGCCCATAGGCCGGACAGAATCTTCGCGACCTTCTTCTAATCCCATTAACAAGATGTTGGTATGTCTATTTGTAAGTTGGTGAATGAAATTCTTCACTTTTCTGAGAAAGTCAAAGAGATTAACCATACCCTTCTCTGCCTCATACCTAAGGTGGAGAAGCCTGACAATATGAAGAACTTTTTCCCCACTAGTTTATGTAACGTCTCTTACAAGATTGATACTAAACTCATTGCGGGCAAGTTGAGATGCATTATGACTAAATTAATCTCCCCCAACCAGTGTAGCTTTGTCCTAGGAAGGCATAGTGCATATAATATAGTCATTATGCAAGAAGTTGTTCATTCCATGCGCATGAAGAAAGGAAAGAAGGCATGGATGGCCGTTAAACTTAACCTGGAGAAGGCTTATGACTGCCTCAGTTGGGACTTCATTCAACAAACTCTTGTAGATATAGGTCTTCCCAGCATAATTGTTAATGTTATAAATAACTGTATTTTCGGTGTTTCTTATAACTTACTTTGGAATGGGAATAGGAATTAGACAAGGTGACCCAATGTCACCTTATTTATTTGTCCTTGTGTAGAACATTTAGCCCACTTGATCCAACTTGCAGTTGACAATAAGGATTGGAAGCCTATTTTTTTGAAAAGAAATGTCTTTCCCATTAGCCATTTATAATTCACGGATGACATAATCATGTTCTTTGAAGCCTCAGTTGAACATGGCTATGTGATGAAGCGGATTCTTGACACCTTTTGCAGTGCATCTAGGCAAAGGATTAGTAAGGCCAAATCGAGAGTTTATTTTTCCAAGAACGCCAGTTTCCCGAGAGCTAAGGAAATCTATGATAAACTTGATTTTGGTATCACATCGGACTTAGGCAAATACCTTGGCATTCTTCTCCATCATAAAAGACTCAGTGGGAACTCATTCTCTCATTGTATTGATCGAGTACAAAGTATATTAAATTCCTGGAATGCCTCGTCCCTTTCCCTCGCTGGGCGCGTTACACTAGCGAAATCTGTATTAGTGACTATCCCCAGCTATACCATACAGACATCTATATTACCTTTGTCAGTCTGCGATGCTCTTAAGAAATCCATTCATTATTTTATATGGGGCTCTAGTCCTAATAATAGACGCACTCACCTGGTGAACTAGAAGAAGGTTTGCAGTCCCATGCAGATTTGAGGTCTAAGGATGAGGAACTTACGTAACCTTAACTTGGCTTATATTATGAAATTGGGCCACAGTCTTCTTACCAATAAGATTTTTTTATGGGTTAAAGTCCTTATAAACAAGTACGATCTAGGATAGGGCCTTGTCCTAGAGATCAAAACCTGTAACCAAGCTTCGAACCTCTGGAGAGGAATTATGAAATCTTTGCACCTCATTCAAAAAGGATCGAGGATCATGCTTGGGAATGGTTAGTCTACCCGCTTCTGGCTGGATACGTGGCTTCCATAGGGGCATACTCTTGTTTTGGTTGCTATCACAAATATCCCAGCTGATGCAATCTAGCACAAGGTAGCTGAGTTTGTTTACTCGAATGGTAATTGAAAATGGCATTTATTCCAACATTTAATTCCAGATGAAACCTCTAACTACATCTCCTGAGTTTTTCCCCCTTCACCTTTAGATGGAGAGGATCATGTCATTTAGAGCTATTCTAATAATGGCTGCTTGATGAGTCTTGAATTTACTAACGGGTTAATATGAGCATGAAATTGATTTAAAAGTAATTAAAAGTTATGAGAATTATAATTAAATTGTTATTTTATTTTCAATAATATTCTCATAAGATTTCTTATATTTTGCAGTAAATTTCAGCTCAATAAAGAGATAAATTGGAGAGATCAAGTAGATTGCTTTGAATTTCTGAATCATTCAAGATCTTATCAAATCTTCGTGAATATTTTTAAGAAAAGCTTTCCATTAAAGATTTGATCAAAGATAAGATTAGAGATTCTAGTGAAGATTTCTTTGAAGATATAATGAAAAATTAAAAGATATGGTTTTCATCCCTATAAAAGGCATCTCTTGGAAACTCAAAGACAATTCGACAGAGGCAACAATATTCAGAGGAGGAGACTCATGCCAAAGATCAGGATTCCGGAGAACTTGAAGATTGAAGACCATTGATCTTTCTTCTTCATCTTTTTCTTTTCTTTCTTTGTTATGAATTCTTTTTACTATTTGAATCTGTTTAAGTCAGACATAAATATGTCTGGCTAGTTTCTTTTTGTAGTTGGGATCACAGACCCGATGTGAATCCTTTATATTTTCTACATTGTTTTTATAATTTAATTAGTTAGTTTGTTTTATTCTACCTGTGTTAATTTTTCCATATCCTGATTAGAATTGGCCACTCTAATTATAAAGCTTTGAGGGTTAGAATTCACAATAGACATATTGGGGTTTAATCTGGACAAGGGTAGAATAACAATTTGTGTATGACCTAGACATAGGCTTACATAGATTGCAGACTTATAATTCTTTTGCTTAATGCTTAATTCAAGAGGGATTGCTGTTGTGCAATTGTGTACCCCTTTTAGCAATCACACATTATATAAGTGCACGTGTCACAAGTAATAAAGTGGATGTGTGAGCCCAGATATCGTTCCCACGAAGAAAACTATAAAGTTGGGATCAATGTGAAGCAATAAAGGTAACAATGTTTATGAAAGTTTTATGAAATAAGAACTAAGGACTAAAATAATACTAGCTACTGACTAATAACTAAAAGCAAAGTAAAAATAAACTAAGAGTGCACTCAAGAACAAAGAAGTCAAGTTATAAAGTAGATTGGGATCAATTTCCCCATTATTGCAGTTTCACCTGAATGCAGCCACAATGCTACAACAATCATCCAACCAGTAATCAGAACACTAATGCATGCAAGGACTCTTACCAACAATACATGTATACTAAGTCCTACATTTCTATGGCCAACATAGTTATAAATCATTAAGTTCAACTTGCATATGATTTTGTGATGTGAATGATCTCTCTACCCACAATTAACCAATTAAATTAGTTAAACCACAATGCTTAATAACTTTCTTTCTTTTTTAAATAAAGGAAATTACATCAGCTAGTTACATATTCTGAGATTCCCAAACCCCAGTTCATCCCTACAAATAAGTGGCACACAACCATCAGGGGGTTGTTCTAGAACACTGAGGCTCCAATCTTCATGGTCGTGGCTGAAACCTTCGAGCCAATGGCCACCATGTTACCTTCTCTAAAGGTGTGGGTTACGTTGATCGACCAAGGGCCAGATAAACATCTTCTAATTCTGGAAACAAGTGCAGCGAGGGGATGTTGAGCTCTGCAACCAGATAAAATGAGTTGAACCGCCGTAACAGAATCACTCTCCAGCCAAACATGTCTAAACCCTGCACTCCAGGAAAGCTCGACTCTATGGATTAGGCCCCAAAGCTCCGCTCGAAGAGCCGTTCCACTCCCCGTGTTTCTATGGTAGCCCATAATCCAGTTGCCATTCGCATTCCTGATAACTCCACCACAGCTAGAGTTTGAGCCTCCGTTCGAGCATGACCCATCAGCATTTAGTTTAACCCAGCCAGATTGGGGAGCTTTCCAGTAGACTAGGTGATCCGCTTTGTCATTCACACGCAGCCCTCCTTTAGCCAGTTTGCTGTTAGCGTCAACCCAGTTCCTGGCATAGAGTAGAGCCTTCGTGGTTATGGACGTAGGCTAAAGGTTTCCCCCTCAAAGATGAGTTTGTTTCGTGCTTGCCAAATGTGCCAACAAAGAATACCAAACAAGACATTCCACTTCATGCCTTGCACTCCTGTCTTGACCGTGGCCTTGAGATTACCCTCAATCCAACCGTCCGGATCAAGTTGGAAAAAATCCCTACGCAGCGACATAAGAACCCAGTTGTCCCAAATGATTCTACTTCCACTGCAGTCTCTAAGGACGTGTATGCGATCCTCACTAGCGCCATGATATCTTGGACAAGCAGCATCGGTGACAAGATGCCTATCTCTCCTATTAGCGTTCGTTAGGAGGTTGTTGCCTTTGAGAAGCCAAAGAAAGGCCCTTATACGCTGGGGACCCTCCCATTTCCACACGATCTTCCAGTTATTCATGCTGGCAGATTGGGGGCTGTCTATAATAGTATCATATGCCGATTTGATATATAACTTCCCATCATGAGAGAAGTCCTAAACCACAACATCATTTCCCATGGTTGGGTCGGGTGGGGCTATGGCAGCTATTCTAGCGCAAGTGTCATCATCAAGGAAAGCTTGGATGTTGGGCCATTTCCAGGAGCCATCAGAGGTTACATACCTATCCACCATCCAGTCCGCTTGGTCTTCAGGGATAGGGATTATAGTTTGGTGGGCTAAGGTGTTCCATCTAAGGATCTATTTCCCAGCCCAGAACTTTGTCCATTTCCCATCTCCAAGCTAGCTACTTGATCCTTCCAAAATGTTAGGCCAAACTTTAACAATTTCTTTCCAGATAAAGGATGAGGACCGTCTAGATGAGACGCGGGGAAAAAGGTAATTCCCAACATTATATTTATTCTTGAGGACCCTCACCCAAAGGTCATTGCGTTTAGTGAGTAGGTTGTGCCCCAACTTCATCATAGTGGCTTGGTTCATCTTCTGAGTATGGCGAATACTAAGTCCCCCCTCCTCTTTGTGCCTGCAAACTCTCTCCCAGGGAACCGCATGGATCTTACGGCTTTCCGCATCAGAGCCCCAAATAAAATCCCTTACCCTCTTGTGCTGTAAAGCAGGGACGTTGCTGTAGCACTGCTCTTGCAGCAACCATGAGCTCCACCACCATCAACCTTGCCTCAGCCGTCGGAATAGTGCAGCAAGTTACTGGGTTCGATTATCTCTCTATTGAACCCTAGCTCCTTCCTTTGATTCGCTGGATCTCTCTCAATGAACCCTCAAATTCCCTCTAAGTGTTTATCCCAGTTTCTCTCTCTAGACCAGCCTCAAAGAGAGACTATCCAACCTTGTTTGATATGTGTAGGCTTCCTCTTTTTATAGACTTTGATGAATTGGGCTCCAATTAGCTCTTCAAATCCAATTCAAATTATGTTCAAAACTGCTCTGTTTTGCTGCAGCTATGATTGAAGATACAACTCTGTTTTGCTGCAGCACTGATTGGAGATTCTTCCTTATTTGTTGCAGCGCTGAATGGGGATACAACTCTATTTTGCTACAGCGCTGATTGGAGATTCTTTCCTTATTTGCTGCAGCTATGATTGAAGATACAGCTCTGTTTTGCTGCAGCACTGATTGAAAAAAATTTCCTTATTTGCTGCAGCGCTGATCAGGGACAGCGCATAATGCTGCTGCATATCTTCTCCAAATATACTTCAGATTTGATTTGGATTTGTTCGCACAGATTTGTGGGATATTTGATTAGGATTCTTGAAGATCCTTGAGTGATTATTCATATCAGAATATCTATTTTCGTGCTCAGAAGCTTCCCACCATTAATTTGGGCTTGGGTCCATAGCTTGCTGGTGATGATGACAACCAGACATGCTGCTGACCTTATCTTCGATGCTACAACATTGTTTTTCGATGCTACAGCACTGACCTGCAATAAAATAGAAAATGAAATAAATGGTTCGTACACTCAAACTATCTTCAAATATCAACACTTAGCATATTTCTCATTCAAATCATGAAAATATAGAATTCATGCATTAATCATATAAAACCAAGAGAATTATGTATATTTATGACACCAAAACATCACAAATAAGCCTAAAAATAACTCTCTTTCAGAGAGTTATCAATTACTAAGACATTAGAATTCTGATTGGGTTAAAGGGTTGAAATCACTAAGACATTAGGGTTCAACTATTTTATAGGAAAATAATGAATTGTCTGAACAAACCAATTAGTTAATTATAAAATACAATATAGGAAGGCAAAATGATTTCTGCAGCTACTGTACCTACAGCTAGCCAGGATCCGTGTGCGGATCCTAGGATACGGCAACGGATCCTTTTTTTTTTTTAAACGCCGTGGGGCCCACTTTTCTGTGTCAACTGTAGAGAGTGTTATCTACGGTGGCTGCAGAAATGTTAAGCCCGTATAGGAATATAAGGGAGGATCAGAGGTGAAGTGCATCCTGGCTACAGCCTTTTTACAAATTTTTAA